CTCCTTGGAATAAAGATGAAAGATTAGGAGAGAAGAGGGTGAAGCAGAAGGCAATGATACAAGCTCAGAAATTCTGCTCATCAGCTCAGGCAACAGAGGCAGGTATAAACCCCTTACTGAGGGTGGACATTAAATTCTTAAAAGTCAACTCAAACTTCAAAGGCAGCTGCATAAATCACTTTAGCCTTAGGACACTAGTAATCTGTGCTTCCACAAGTTTCCTGGATTAATAGAAGGGTACACAGGCTGTTGTATTGCTTGGTGTGCTGCTGAAGTAGAGGTGGCCGTAGGGGGAGAGGATTGCTTCCAGCAGTACTGCGCGCTTCTGTGCTATGGTACTTGTTTAGAAGCACGCACATCGTGCTTGTATTTAAATAAATATGTTAATAATAAAACTAAGGATGATCACCATTTCCTCAGCAATTTTGATGTTTGATTACATTCTCATGACAGCTTTTTTGGCTGACTTTGAAAATTAAATAAAGTTGCATCTTGGCAACAAAGAAACATATTTCACCGTCCTTGTAGCAAGTTACTTTCACATACAAGCGTTTTGGGGTAAATGAGTGGTGGTAGTAGTAATCTGGTTTGCTTTCATGTGATGCGTTTTCAGTTGATGCTACTGGTGCTTCTTTTATTTTTTCCTTATTGGACAGTTGTGGCATCTTGTGGTAATTATGTGAGTTAGCAGCTGGCAGGGAAAATGAGAAGTGGTCTAGTTATTCAGGTGGCTCACTTCATAGTGTATGGGATGAGGATGTTACCATAAAAGAGAGCTGACTTATATGACATCGTATTGTTACTAAAATCTCCATGTTTTTACACCACCTCTGGTTTATCAGCTGGTTAAGCTTTTTGTCGGAAGGATGTGTGTGTCAGGGATGATAAAAGCTGCTGCTGAATGAAGCTGGGGCTGCTGGTGTATCGGTGCTGGGCCATGCTTTCCTTCTGGCCGGGTTTGGTGGTAATGGCACCATCTGCAGAGTGAGCCCTTCATTTCTGCACTTCTGTTTAAACGCATGCTATTTCATACAGGACGTTCTTTCACGTGAAGTAAATGAAGAAACAGCTGCCCTCTGCTTTTTAAACGTAGGACCTGAGAACACTTCTGCTCAGGAACTCAGTGCTGTGAGAACTGGAGGTGAGAGAAAACATCCCAGGCAGCTTTGTGCAGGATCACCGTGGTCGCAGTGTTCACGTTTCGTGTCTCTGTAGTCTAGAAAATCTCCTTCCTAGCAAGATTAACCACTCCTGCCTGCTTCCCTCCACTCTCTGCCTGATTCCCCTCCTTCCCTTGGCTCCCTGGAGCTGCAGTTTTAGCTAGTTGGATAGAAAAATGTGAGTTAATTTCTCCTTAAATAACCTAGGCAAGGCAGTCTTCTGTCAAAGATTGAATATGTGTGGGCATACCATTTAAAGGTAGATACTGTGCTTTAGTTTGAGCTATTATTTCAGCTGATGAAAAGCTCTGAAAATAAAGATTACAAAATAAAATAATTTTGACCTTCGTCCCTAGTTTAGAGCATGTGGAGAAATTGTTGTTCATCAATAATCTTGTTTTGGCTGAGTTTTGGCAGAAAGGAGTACGTAAAGAGATTATAGGGAAGGGTATGGAAAGGGCCTGTAATGTTTCAGCAAATACTTTGCCTTCCGCTGTTGTAGCACTGGTTGTTGCCCTTTGGCATCGTCCTTTACAGCCCTTCTGCAGATACCCACCATGAAAAGAGAGTTATCTCTACCCTTTGTACTGTGGTTATGTGTTTGCTCTTTATAACTGTGTGGCAACATAAATCTGGTTTTAAAAACAGCAGCTTCTAATCCTATTTTCAGTTTTATAAACCTCGAATTAGAGAAATGAATGCTTTCATCTCTGATGGTGGATTTTTTTGGGTGTGTGGTGCAGCCGGGCTGGCAGGGTCTGTC